CTCTTCAAAAACAAGGAGAAATGATTCACCAGTAAGGCTTTGGTCTTAACACCACTGTCATCGGTACCCTGTTCCTGTACCAAATGAGTGAGGCACCTAGCTATGGACTCTCTAATTCACAGTCAAATATTTTTTAGAGAGTTATTTATTTATTTAATTCCAGCTGTTATTATTTTTTAATTTGACGAGAGAGAGCAAGAGAAAGGGAAAAGAAAAAGCAAGCCACCAGGTCCAGGACTTGAACCGCTGTCGACCATGTGGGAATCCAGCGCCTTTAAACTACCATGGCATCTGCTGGCCCCAACAGTCGACAAATATCAATTGGGTTTCTACTATGTGCCACGCACAGAGATCCTGGGGATACAGTAATAAAGAAGATGATCAAATCCCTGACCTGATGGAGTTTATAAACATAAACCAGTGGGGAGAGGACTCAAATAACATAATTTCAGGTAGCAATAGCTACGAAGAAAAACAAAATGAAGGGATAGAGAACGCCAGAACTGAGTTTTGTGAGTTTTGTGCCCAAGATCCCGAGAGGAGAATGGAGAAGAGATTACAGCATGGCCACTCCCACAGCCCCACCCCACCCCACCCCCAGTGATTTCTCACTTTCTCTCTCTCTGTCTGTCTCTTTCTCTCTGGTGAGCACAGGTGCCCTATAGCAAAAAAACTCTCTTTAAAAAAGAAGAAAGAAAGAAGAAAGAAAGAAAAAGAAAGAAAGAAAGAAAGGAAGGAAGGAAGGAAGGAAGGAAGGAAGGAAGGAAGGAAGGAAGGAAGGAAGGAAGAAAGAAAGAAAGAAAGAAAGAAAGAAAGAAAGAAAGAAAGAAAGAAAGAAAGAAAGAAAGAAAGAAAGAAAGAAAGAAAGAAAAGTGTGTTTGGAGAAGCAGGTTGGAGGCCAGATCCTGCAGGGTCTTGGCGGCCACAGTAAGGGATCTGAATTTTGTTCTAAGATGGAAATTCACTGGAGAGTTTGGTGCAGGGAAGTGACAAGATCAGATTTATATTTTCAAAAGATCACTTTGGCTGCTATGTAGCAATCAGACTGCAGGGGACAGGCGCAGAGAGAGACCGGTATCCAATTACAGCTGCCCTGGACTTGCCTCTGTTTTTCACCGTTCTGCCTCAGAGCACGGGCAGACACCAGCATACACCCCCTTCCCCTCTGCTTGGTCTAGTTAATGACTAGTTTTTTCAGAACTCAGCTGCTACTTTCTCCAAGAAAACGCGCGCGTACGCGCACACACACACGCGCGCGCGCACTGCCTATCACACGAACTCCAACCTCACATGTCCTCTGTCGCTCTTATCCTAGTTGCGCTTACTGTACAAATTGCTCGATGCCAGTTATAGAGCCCAGCGCGTAAAAGACGGTGGCCTGCTAATTCGCTTGCCTGTCGGTCTGTTCGGGTGTAAGCCAGGTACGGTAGTCAGTCTGTCCTGGCTCCCCATAAGCCCGTCAGTGCTTGTAGCACAGCAGCAGGTGCTCATCCAGTGCGCGGTGTAGGTGTGCTGAACGACCTAAGAATGCATGAGGATTATATAAACTTCTATCCTCTGCCCCTCGAAAAGTGAGTGGATAGAAGGGCTGGAAGACTTTATCACCTCGTCTGCATAAGTAAAACGTGGCCATCCCTACAATTAATAATAACGACGATGATGAAAGGTTAGTGCAAAGGCATGGATGAGGAGTTAAGATTCAAAAGGTGCAACATCTATGACGCCTACCCTCGGCGAAGCGAAACAGCAGCCCCAACCGGAGGCGAAGGGAAATCCCACAGCAGCCTGCAAAGGCGAGTGGTTCGGGCGAGAGAAGTTGGCCCAGCCACCGGGGGCAGTGCAGGCACACGACTGCGGCCTCCTCCTCGCGCCGCAGTTTGGAAGAG